TTCCTCACTGCAAACCTTTAGGTTGGGTCAAAAAAAAAAAACTATATCGGCCGGGCGTGGTGGCTCATGTCTATAATCCCAGCACTCGGGAGGCTGAGGCAGGAGGATCGCTATGAGTTCAAGACTAGCCTGGACTACATAGTGAGTTCCAGGTCAGTCTCAACTACATAGTGAGACCCTGTCTCAAAAAACCAAAAAACAAAACAAACAAACAAACAAACAAAACACAACAGAATATCTGCTACAAATTGAATAAATAACTTTAAAAATGAACTATTTTGTGGAAATATCTAAATTTAGAATGTTTGTACAACTTGCACTTCCCAAAATACTGACCAAATACTCTTAATTAAATGACAGCTATTTATTGTTTTTATTTATAGATTGGTATTTGTTATTTATTTGTGTATTTATGTATGTATTTGCAGTACCAGGGATTAAGCCCAGGAGTACTGAGTTGTATCCCTAGCTCTTTTTAAAATGTTTATATTTTGAGACTGCATCCTGCTAAACTGCCCATTCTGGCCTCAAAATTGTGATCCTCTTGCTTCTGTCTCTCGCATAGTTGGGTATATAGGCATGTACCACTACAGATGACTGTAATTTACTTTATGTGTACCTTCATGTTCATATCATGGCATATTGTACTGTATTCTGATTTTGTGTTTGAAAATGATCAGACTTATATAGAAATAGTTTTACACTGGGGCATGGTGATGCATGCCTGTATTCAGGAGACTGAGGCAGGAGGATTGTTGCCAATTTGAGTCCAGCCTGAGCTATATAGTGAGTTCAAAGCCAGCCTGAACTACGTAGCAAGATCCTGTCTCCAAACCAAAAACAAAACAAAACAAAACAAAAAAAAGTTTTGTGACTGATTGAATGATTGGCCTTGATATAGAAGCCTTTTAGAAGATGTAGAAATAACTTTGCTTTTTGATAAAGATTGTTCCTGTAAGTGCATAGTGTTTGAGTCCTGAATTTAATGTTTGCATGGATGTGTGTGATCTTTACATAATAAATAAAATTTTCTACACATTTGTCATTCTACTTATTAAAATGGTTAGCATTGTTGCCATTTAAACTTCCCCCTCTTTTTTTAGGGACAGTCTCCCTCAATTCGCCAGCTTATCATGCATGCAATGGCAGAATGGTACATGAGAGGAGAGCAGTATGACCAGGCTAAGTTGTCTCGAATACTTGATGTGGCTCAGGACTTAAAGGTGACTTGACTTCTGAGGGACAGAATGACACTGGCTTAGTAATGATTAAAAAATGAATTTTCTGTACTATTGATGCCTTAAGAGTAATTCAGATGTAACTAAATGTAGAGTGAATTGAGACTGAGAATTTTGCCTTGTAATTTCAGTGGATGGAAAGGATAGTAGGTTTAGATATGCTAAATGTCTTTTTCTTTAGTTCCTCTGTGCATTAGGCTTTTTTTTTTTTTTTAGGCTATTTTAAAGCAAGTGATGGTTGAGCTTTTCTCCTAAGTAATCTATGAGATACAACTTTTGGAGAAAATGGATACATTTTTACCTTCTAGTCAGTTTATTTGGATAAATTGGGATAAATAATTGACTTCATATCATTAATAACAGGGTGTATTTGTATTGGTCAGTGATAGCAAACCTTTTAGAGCTTTCAATGATATAAACAGCCTGCTGCAGCACGCGTGCCATAGGTTCACCACCACTGGTATAGGTGATGTGATTGCACTTATGTTAGACTTACACCTGCAGTTGAATTTTAAAATGGATAAGGATTATCAGTTGTGCTTTGAGTCTTGCTTTGCTTTAGGTTTAATTATATGAAAAAGCACATGGTAAAGTTTATGTTGAAAGTAGTCATGATCTTGATTTACTTATTTATTTTTGGTATCAGGGCTTGAACTCAGGTCCTTGTGCTTGCAAGGCAAGTGGCGGAACCACTGAGCTAAATCCCCGGCCCATAGTCATAATCTTTAAAATATGATATTAAATCGGAACTAACATTACCACTGAATGTGTTAAATAAGCTGTTTAAAAAAATTGAACCCTATCCCCTTAGTTGTGACCAAAGAAATACTATCAGTATGCTTTTTCTGTGAAAAATAGAATATACAAAGTAGACCACCAAAATAGTTACTTACTGCTTGACTTATAGTTTCTTTTTCTTTTTAGTGTTTGGTACTGGGGATCAAACTCAGGTTCTTGTGCTTGCAAGGTTGGCTGTGGAACCACTGAGCTAAATCCCTGGCCCCTTAATTTACAGTTTCTAATACTCGTTTTTTCTTTAGGCCTTGTCCATGCTGCTAAATGGTACTCCATTTGCCTTTGTTATTGACCTTGCTGCACTTGCTTCACGTCGTGAATACCTCAAACTTGACAAGTGGCTCACAGACAAAATTCGAGAGCACGGGGTAAGCAGGATTTGTCTTTTTATTTTTGTTTGGAAATGTTGTTGGCTAAAGTACCTCAAGAAATGGCTTCTCTGTTGTTTTGGGCTTGGCGCATACTAGGCAAGAGCTCTATCCCTGAGCCACATCCCCAAAACCAAGAAAAAGGTTTTATTAAGATGGCAATAAGAATGTCATTTTTTCTAGATGTTATTCATAGTGCTTAGTTACCTTTAATCTTAAAGCATTTAAAATCAGTTTCACACTGAGAAACATTCATTTTTCAGGAGCCTTTTATACAAGCCTGCATGACTTTTTTAAAGAGACGATGCCCTTCTATTTTGGGTGGACTTGCCCCAGAGAAAGACCAACCTAAAAGTGCTCAGCTTCCTCCTGAAACTCTGGCAACAATGTTGGCCTGTCTACAGGCTTGTGCAGGGTAAGAACATCATGCTAGAAAACTCTATTTAATATTGGAATTGTGTTGTTGCCTGTTGATTTGGAGATGTAAGGGAGTGAATGAAAGTGACAGCAGTTTTTAACAACCCATTGATTTTTCTATCCAAGTTAGCATGTTATTTAACATGAATATTAGATCTATTTGTGTTAATTTTTTATGTGTTGTGAGATAGGGGTCCACATTGGCTTTTTTTTAAATGTGGATTTTCCTCAGCACCCTCTGTTAGGAAATGATACTTTTCCCCTTGAACTTTTATTTTTAAATTTTTATTTATTGTAGTATAGCCCTGGCTGTCCTTGAACTCAAGATTTTCCTGCCTTGGACTCCCCAAAAACTGGTCTTAGGCATTATGCCACCATGCTTGGCTTAAATGACTTATTTCAGAAAGCTTTTATCAGAGACCTTTTCTCCATATATTAAGATTATTGTGTACCCCCCATCCTTTTGATATTATGTTAATTGGTGTTTTTGGTGTATTTAGCCTTTAGACCTTGCATTTTTTGGTCAAAAATCTGTCAGTTATTTTGTGTGAGTGTATATGTGTGTATGTATAAAATTTTATATACGTGTGGCTTTTTTTACTCCATGTATTTGGGATTGAACCTAGGTCCTCCCACATGCTAGGAAAGTGCTCTACCACTGAGCTACGTGTCCAGTCCAACTGTTGATTGCAATGCTGGGGATTGAACCTGGGACTCTGCAACAAGCTTCATCCTCAGCCCATTTTAAAATTTTGAGATAAGGTTTCTTAAGTTTCCCGTCCTAGGCTTAAACTTGTGATCTTCCTGCCTCGGCCTCCTAAATAGCTGGGGTTATAGCTATGCACTACCATAACCAGCTATTGTTTACTTGTGCTATGTTTGTCTAATTGTGATATCAGGTTACTGCTGGCCTCATGGAATGAATTCATAGGTGTTGGGCTCTAGAAATCCTCCTGACTCTGCCTCCATTTAGCTGGGAACTATAGGCACCCGCCATTGTGCCTAGCTCTGCTTTACTTTGTTGTAACGGCAGTAGTAGTAATTTCTGTGAGAGAAGATGTAGGAGTATCAGTTTGTGTAGAGTTTATTGGATACAAAGAATTCCGTAGTTTTCTGAGGCAATACTAGTACCACAAGGCAGGAAAGTGAGTTTACCTGTCAAGTGACTATCCTTTATGACATTTTAGACTTAAATCAGTGACTTTATGTGCTTGCTAATTGTAGTTGCTGACTATGTGGTAGCTTTTGTATAGTTAATATGTTTTCTTTATCGTATGTTAATATTAGAATTACTAAGCTGCTAGCTTTGATTTGTCTTGGTTTGCGTATAATTTTATTGATATGCCAATATTAGAAAATCTCTGATGATGGGTGAAAAGGGGCAGAATGTGGCAGACTTTTAGCTATGCCTTTTTAGCATGCTTTCTTTTATTATAAAATTAGATTGGTCTATTTAAGTGTTCTGGGAATAGTCTGTTTCTCACTTTCCTTCTTTTTAGGAGTGTTTCTCAGGAGTTATCAGAGACCATCCTCACCATGGTAGCCAATTGCAGTAATGTTATGAATAAGGCCAGACAGCCGCCACCTGGAGTTATGCCAAAAGGACGCCCTCCTAGTGCTAGCAGCTTAGATGCCATTTCTCCTGTTCAGGTAAATGAGTGTTGTAATTGTTATGTCTGTGTTTGTTCATAGAATCAGAATAGACTACGTTTAACATCATTAATAAGTTAACTTTACTACATTTTAGCTATATATGCATGTATATAGTAGCAGCTTAGATTATAAAGGTCATCAATAAATAAGCATAGTTGAGAATAGATTTTAAATTATCAAATAGAACATGATTAAGGAAAGACACAAAACAACTTCTTTAGGTAAATGAAAAGGGTTTTTTTTGGGGGGGGGTACTGGGGATCGAACTCAGGTCCTTGTGATTGTGAGGTATGTGGTGGCACCATTGAGCTAAATCCCCGGCTTGGTTTCTTTTTAAAGTAAGTATTACCAGGCATGGTGGTGCACATCTGTACTTCAGCACTCAGGAGGCTAAGACAGGAAGTGTGCTGTGAGTTTGAGGCTAGCCGGGGCTACATAAAGAGTTGAAGGCCAGCCTGAACTATATAGTGAGACCCTGCCTTAAAGGAAGGAAAAAAAAAAGAAACTAAGTTTTACACTGTTGAGAAATAAGCACTGCCTTTGAACCTGGTGTGTCTTGTTTGTAGCTTCACAGGCCAAGCAACAGTGCTAGAGCATAACGACTTGTTGTAACTGGGGCTCTTCAGCTCTCAACTGAACTGCTCTTTTAAAAACAAGGTACATTTAAGTTACTCCCTGACATCAACCATCCCCTTCTCTTTGGGAGCAACACATTCCACTTTTCTTTCCCACTGCATTGAATGACTGATTGAGGTTTAAGGAAAGAAAGCACTTCCTGATTCTTCAATGACTTATAAAACATTTGCATACCATTTTCTACAATCATGAAGGCATAAAGTAGTTCCACAAACTAAGAAGTCTGCAAGTTCATTTAGTATTTTAAAAATCTTTTGATGATTAGCATACCTTGTTTTGGCTAGTTTGCTTTTAAAATCAGAGACTATCTACCTTCCCTGGTGCTGAAGATTCTCAAAATTTGACTATGTTTTGACTGACTGATTGATTCGAATTTCTGATATTTTTAAATTTTCAAAGGTGATCGTATTTTAAAGTGATTCACTAGCGGTTGGGTTTACCTAATGTAATATCTGCTCTGTGTCATTACTGAATGTTTTCAGCGACAGGGGAATTCATTTAACTGTTGTTCTTTAAAGTTTTGTAGCCCTCTCTATGACTGTTCTTTTTGTTAGGGATTAACTGTTAAACCTATTCCTTATAAGATATAATGTGAAAAAATGACTGGCATAGGGCTAAGGATGTAGCTCAGGAATAGAGTTCTCATTTAGGTTGCATGAGGTCCTGAGTGTAAGCCCCACTCCCAACTGGGGGAAAAAGACTGGCATATTTGACTTGATACTGCAAATTAAATATCTTCACAATCATGTGATTATTCAGGTTTACTAAAAGTATTAAGCTGTTACTGAGGCCGGGGATTTAGCTCAGTGCTTCTGTCACCTGCTTCACAAGAGCAAGGACCCAAATTCAATCCCTGGTACCCCCAAAAAAAGCTGTTACTAAAGATTGCTTTACCTGTGTCTTGTCTGCCTTTCCTTGAAATATGTTTAATACGTTTTTATAATTTTTTGTTTCAGATTGACCCTCTTGCTGGAATGGCATCTCTTAGTATAGGTGGCTCAGCTGCCCCTCACACACAGAGTATGCAAGGTTTCCCTCCAAATTTGGGTTCTGCATTCAGTACTCCTCAGTCACCAGCAAAAGCATTTCCACCTCTGTCAACCCCAAATCAAACCACTGCATTCAGTGGTATTGGAGGACTTTCATCACAGCTTCCAGGTAAGGGAGAGTTGTGTAGGGTAATGCTTCTAAATTTCATTGTTACTTAGTATTGTATGGCAAGTGGTTTGGAGTGACTGTGATAAAGGGGAAAGAGTTAAAGGGTATTTATATCTATAAAATGTGTTGAGTTATTTAGTAAGGATTCCATATTAACTGGCAGTATGTATAATGGGTATTAATGACTTTAGCAAATAATTGTCATTACTCAGACCCTTATGCTGAGCATGTCGTCTGCCACTGAGCTAAACCACAGCCTGTCATGTACTTTAAAGGGCTTAGATCTAGAACTCAAGTGAATCACTCTAGGTTGGTACAGTATAATGAAAATAGAAACTTGTACATGTTACATTTAGGCAAATGTTCTCACTGCGTCAGTGTACCTCACCCAACCTGAAAGTGGTAGTAAACCCCTAAATTTTTAGGTTCCCCCTCTGCCCCCCTCGCCAATATTTGAGCCTATAGCTTTACAATGAAGTAAAGTCTACAGTTTTTTATTTTTATTTTTTTTTTAACTCCTCTTGAGGTGTCCTGGTGCCCCCTGCCCAGCCCTGCCTTCTTTTGGAGTGAGGTCATAGAGATCCTGAGTCAAGTCTCTGAAGTTTTTTGTTATTTTTTTTTTATTTTTTTTTTTTTTAAGGTTACAGTTTTTAATTGTAGGTACTCGTTTCTCAGGTGTCTTCTATACTGTTTATATTTAAGTCATAAGATACTAAGACCTATGGGCTAAAATGTTATGAACTCTGTATTTTGTAAACAGTACCACTATGTACAGACCTGCAAAGGTTATTTTAAGATTTATTTATTTATTTATTTATTTATTGGCTTGAGTTTAGAGAATAAGAAATCCTGATAACAAGAAGATGATAGCATGAAATTTTTTTTTGGTACTGGGGATCGAACTCGGGTCCTTGTGCTTGAGGGGCAGATTCACAACCACTAAGCTAAATTCCCAGCCTGAAATTTTCTATTTTAATCATTACAACAAGCAAACCAACTGCTCTTACTTTGACTACCTTTAGTATGCCAATTTGTGCTTTAGGATGTATACTTTAAAATCTTGCATATTCAAGAACTAAATACTGAAGAAATTTACTATTCATTTTGTCTATTTTTACTAGTTTAAATGGTGTATAGAATCAAATGGATATCCATAGGGAATTAACAAAGATCCTGAGGGGTTTTTTCAGCTTTTTTTTTTTTTTTTTTTTTTTTTTTTTTTTTTTGCTCTTTGGGGTTGTAA